CACTCACTCCCGAACGCACTCCTCCTCCCTCTGCTCGTCACTCCTAAAAAACCGCCACGGGCACCCAGCCGCCCCTCCCCCACCAGCTTCGCCTCACCCGTGATCTACGAGTGACACAGAAGCATCATACAGCCCAGCTAACCACCCCTCACTCACTTCGGACGCACCTCCTCCTCCCTCTGCCCGGCCATCCTCAAAAACCGCCACGGGGAACCCAGCAGCGGGCCTCACCCAGCTTCGCCTGCAGCTCCCGTGCAGCTCTGCCATGGCAGCAACCTCTTCTTGGGTGAGCAGTGCGCCCGTGCCCTGTGGTATGGTGGGGGAGTCCGTGGGGCAGAAGATGGCGTGGGGAGAAGCAGGTGCGGGGCTGAAAGGGGGAGGGTGAGAGGAGCGGGGGGGAGGGTAAACAACACAGTGGCTTATGAGGGGATTGTGGGAGGCAGTACCGTAGGAGCGTGGTTTCAGTAGGCCAGAAGTGGGTGTAGGAGAGGCAGGTGTGAAGCTGGTGAAGAGAGGAGTGGAGGAGGAAAGAAAAGAGGGTAAGGGTGGTGAGAGGAAGGTGCGGTGGAGCCCTGGAAGGAGTGCACTGGAAGCCGCGGGTTCCTGTGAACAGTGCGCCCATGTTGCAGAGGTGGGGGATTGTGGGCAGAAATCGGTACGCGAGAAGCAGGTACTGTGCGGAGCTGGTGGGGACACGGCAGGAAGGATGGGGGAGGTGGGAAGGGGAGAGGAAGGGACAGCGCGTGGGCGACGGAAGTGGCAGAAGTCCGCGGGCCACACATGGAGTAGGAGGAACAGGTGCATCATAGCTGGGGGGGGTGGGAAGAGAGAGGGGAGCGAGAGGGTATGGGGAAGGGGGGGATAGCGCCTGGGAGAGCTGAGCGGGTGCCCTTGGGCGTGTGTCTAGAGTCTGTGTAGAAAAACTAGGGCGGCAGCTGGAAAGGAAAGGGAGAAGGTGAAAGAGGTCACGGGGAAAGGGAAGAAGGGAAGACCTGATAGTGCCTTTGTGGCAGCAATGTCTTGTGTGGTAGGGGCAGATGTCAGGGGCACACAAGTCGATGTGGAATACACATTCACGGGCATTATCCAGCCTGTTAACTCCCCCCAGGTCCCTTCCACCCATTGGTGACACCCATCGCATCACCTATGACCTCCGCCCGCCCCAGCAGCAACCCCTCCTTCACCCCCCTTCAGCCCCCCCCCCCCACTCCTTTCACAAACCCCCACTCACCGTCCCTTGGCCAACTTTCACACGAATACCCACCCCTCACCGCTCTGACCTGTGGGGTTGGCGATATATCCACCGTACCACCGCCCCGCCATCTTCAACACCAAACACATCCTCTATAGCCTCCGCCAGCCCCATCAGCAGTCCCCATTCCCCGCCCCCTCGTGAGCGCTCTCTGCAGCGCAAACGCTCACAGAGCTGGGGTGGAGAGGGGGGAAGAGAAGAAAGGAAAAGGGGCAGTGGCTAATGAGAGGGATGTGAGTGACAGTGCTGTGAGGATGCAAACCTGTGGGCCGGAAGTCCCTAAAGGAGAAGTAGGCGCAGAGATAAGGTGAAGCGGAGAAAGGCGGGGAGCAGTGCTTTGATGAGGAGGATGCGGGCAGGGAGGGAAGCGGGAGACAGTGCTAAAGAAGCGTGAATCTGTAGGTCCGTGGAGGAGGAGCAACGGAGCTTTGGGGGGGAAGGGAGAAGGGGGAAAGAGGGTCAAGGGGAAAAGGCGAAAGTGGTAGGGAACGCAGTGAATTAGCGAGAAATGTCATGTGTGGTAAGGGCAGAATTCAGGGGATCAAAATGCAGTGTGGCATACACACATGCGGTGCTGAGCGGATGAGATGGGGGGAGGTTGCAATAGGGAGTTGGTTGGGAAGACGTAATTGGAAATTTAAAAGGAGAGGAGGTTTTTGCAGGGGGGATGGGGGGATGAGATTCACTCTTGGCTGCAACCATCCTTTCAGCTCATCTATGCTGCCCATCAACTCCCTCCACTCACATCAAAGCCATCCCAAAGCCACTCACAATGACTCCTTGCCAACTCTTCACTGACTCTCAGCAACTCTCGCCGAGATAGCTATTCAACTGCCCCCTTCCCACCGCCACCCACGAGTGACCCGAGTGGTTCCTACACACATCTCCCCCACTCCACACCGACTTCCAACCAAGCCCCTACATGTTTCTAACCTTGGAGATTTCTAGCTTGTCAACTGCTGCCACCAAACAAGCCTCCAGGCGTCTTCTATGGCCTCTGCCAGCCCTGGAAGCACCCCCCCCCCCCCCCCACTCTCCCCTCCCCCCCCTTTTCCGTCCCTTCTCCCCCCTTCCTCCACGCCCCTTCTTCCCACTCCTCCCCCCCTTTTCACCGCTTCCTCAATTGACATCCACACACTCCCCTACCCAGCAGGCCCGTCACCGACTCTCACCTTCGTCATGCAAGTCCATCCGAAGCCACAGAGAAGTTGGCGAGCTGCCATGTGAAGCTCGGGATCTGAATTGTACTTTCCCGTGTGTGATTTCGCCACAGCCTGTGGGGAGCAGAGAAGCGGGGATTGAGGACAATATGAGCGGAAAAAAGGGGAGGGTAGAGGGTGACGGGGGGGAAGGGGGGAGAAGCAGAATGGGAGAGACAAGGCGAGTTGAATAGGGAGAGAGGAGCGCAGGGAACCAATCGCAGCGACAGTAATTGTTGCAACACGTGGATGGCAGAATGACGCTTCAACAACCTGTGCCATGTGGCATGCGACAACTGTACCTCCTGAATCTGTCCGATCTTCCCAGCACCATCATCCCTTCGCTTTTTGCTTTATGCATCATGAAATCTCCAATACCCATATCTGTCATGTCACTGGTAAATATCTTTAATGTAAGCACCGGACAAAACGTCTTGCTGCTGCGACGCCATGCGGGGAATACCCAGCGAAACACAGAGAGCTGCAGCTTACCATCAGCACTACTCCGTCCTTGCAACCCTCCCCACGAAATCCACAGCACCTTCGACGCCTCAGAGAAAGGCCCGAAACAGACCGAGGCAGCCTCGCTGCACCGCCTGTGCATGCGGCCGAGTCACCATCCTATCTCAGAAATCCCGCGAATGGGTGTCACGATTTGCCTGAGCAGGCAACAGGGACCGCCGAAGGAAGGCTTGAATCACTTGTGCGGCGTCGCACAAGTGCAGCAGCAGCACCAGCAGCAGCAGCAGCTGCGCGCCGTCTCGCGAGGCGGGAGTGCGCAGCAGCATTTGCAGCAGCAGCGGCGGGAGCTGCACACCGAGCAAGGCGGGAGTGCGCGGTGCGGGGAGAGCGATGATCGGATCAGGTAGACTCGAGTCTGAAATGCCGCAACGTAGTACAGCTGGCGACATGGGCACGACGACGGGTCGTTTCTGTAGCTGCTACTTGAAATAATGTCTATTGGTAGCTATTAAAGGATAGCAGGGGCCATTGATAGAACTAATATAGAGAGCGAGTGCACATGGTAGATTGGATTGGCGGTGACGAAGACGCTGGCGACGATTCCACCAATGCGTGGTGCGGACGGAAAGAGCCGGTACGGTTCCATGCACAGCTACTATAAACCGCCATCGATGCACAGCTGCTTGAGAAGGTGGATTTCTGGAAGTGAGGTAGGCACAAGAAGATTCAAAATTAGGGTTGGAGGCTGTAATGACCATCGAACAGAGAAATGGAACGACGATATGTGATTCAAGCCTCCATTTACACGAGCACAACCTTGCTTGGCGAAATTTCCGTCGCAAGGGTTTGGGTTGGGGACAAAAGGCTCGGAAGCGACGCGAAACAGCTTCGGCTTCGTCAAATCGGCCGAGCCTGATCCCCACCATCTTCGGGAATTCGTACGATACCCCTAAAATGTCGCCTCCAAACCAGAAAGTAAACCGAACGCACAGACCTCCGAACTTCACGCGTCCCACACCAAACGGCTCGCCTAGGAACTAAAACGCCAGCCGAGCCTGGCGATCCGGACGTACACCCTTTGCCTCGACAATCGTAAGTTTTTTGGCCAGTTTATTGCGAACTCGGAACCTCGCAATGTTCGGAGCTTCGCACAATGCCGAGGGGACCTGAACAAATTTGTTCATCCTAAGTTTGCTTCCCGCAAATAGGGCCTAAGCAACAACCTGTGTCAGCGGTCTTTATGCTCCCTCCTAATCGCCTTGAGGAGCCACGGCTCAAGTGGAAAGCAAACCAGAATCCACACACACACTCGTTTTCACGTTCGAGGCTTTAAGTAGTACGCTCTGCTGTGCGTTGTCGGTGTATTATTTAGGCGTCTAAAAATTGGTCGCTGTGCTTCGCTGTCGGTTCTACCAGGTTCAGTCGTCGTGATGGGTGCCAATTTCAACATGTCACGCCAATTCCGCATGTCGCGCCCCCGTTTGCCATGTCCACGCCGCCATTTCGATACGTCGCGTCGCCATTCCACCATTGCTCGCCGCCATTTCGCCACGTCACGCAGCAGTAGGATTCGTGGCAGGCAACGGTAAGGTCGCACTTGCGCCGCTTGCATTTCTCGAGAATGCGCTACCTGCATGCTCTTCCCTCTTCTGCCTGGAAGTAAGAGCGGTGTTACTACCATAACGGGTCGCGCGCTCGTCTAGTGCTACGGCGCGCTGACTGGGAGCCGTGGCTTGCCACGGTCAGGTGGCTGTCGGCTCCTTGAGTCACCGAGAGCTGATGGCGTGGCATATGGCCGGGGCCAAACCCGTGGTTTAGTTTGGCGCTTGGACGCAAAGGAGGATGACCGTAGCGCAGCTCGTCCGCGTGCTCGCCCCGTCCTGCCGTGGCGCCACTCGGAACGGCGAGCACAGCAGCGGCGTTTCACGCGTACCTTAGTAGGATTGGCGTCATTGTAGCGGCGGCGGCGGGCTTTCCCAGTGGCATGACAGCGAGCACGAGAGAGCTCATTCCCCCACGCAGAGCGCACTGCGGACCTGGCGGCGGCACACGATGCCTAGGGGGGCTGCGTCGGTGGGGAAGCTAAGTGCCGTGAAGCCGCCCCTACGGACGTGCCGCGTATGTGCGTGTGCCTCGGTCACTTGGGGAGCGCATCGTTGCTTTGTGCATCGTCGCTCAGTGCATCGTCACACTGTGTATCGTTGCTCAGTGCATCGTCACACTGTGTATCGTTGCTCAGTGCATCGTCACACTGTGTATCGTTGCTCAGTGCATCGTCACACTGTGTATCGTTGCTCAGTGCATCGTCACACTGTGTATCGTTGCTCAGTGCATCGTCACACTGTGTATCGTTGCTCAGTGCATCGTCACACTGTGTATCGTTGCTCAGTGCATCGTCACACTGTGTATCGTTGCTCAGTGCATCGTCACACTGTGTATCATTGCTCAGTGCATCGTCACACTGTGTATCGTTGCTCAGTGCATCGTCACACTGTGTATCATTGCTCAGTGCATCGTCACACTGTGTATCGTTGCTCAGTGCATCGTCACACTGTGTATCGTTGCTCAGTGCATCGTCACACTGTGTATCGTTGCTCAGTGCATCGTCCACACTGTGTATCGTTGCTCAGTGCATCGTCACACTGTGTATCGTTGCTCAGTGCATCGTCACACTGTGTATCGTTGCTCAGTGCATCGTCACACTGTGTATCGTTGCTCAGTGCATCGTCACACTGTGTATCGTCTCGCAGTGTATCATCGCGCAGAGCGACTGAGTCAAGCCCCATATGCACACCCCCCAACACTCGAACTATCCTTGTCGTTGAATACAAGTGGTACAGCAAAGTCAAGCGTAAAGAACTAAGGTAAGATTTCATCAGCCAACCTAAGCAAGGAAAAAGCCCTGACAGGTATATGCCACGAGGGGGTGCATATGAGGGAAGGAAATGAAAAGGAGGGGGAGGGGGGGGCGGGGGGAGGAGGGGAAGATGGGGGTATAGTCATGGGGAGTGGGTTGCTCTCCCTCTCCTGCATCCCGTCCCTCTCCTTCTGCCTCGCTTCTGCCTTCCCCTCCCCTCTCCCGGTTTCATTCCCTCCACTCCCCCTTCCCTTTCGTCCCCCCTGCCGTTCTTACCAAACGCAGACCCATCTCCTGCTCCCACTTCTCCCACTGCTGCTGCTCACTTGCTTCTGCCAGCTGCACGCTGGTGTGTGGCGCGGCAAATACAGGCAGCAGACTGTGAGTGTGCACGGGCGGGCGGGCGGGCATAAAGCGGCGGTATGGGGAGGTGACATGGCAGGGGTGATGCGCGGTGATGCGAGATTGTCCAATGCCACTGTGACTCTCTCTCACCACGTTCCGCAGAAGCGCTCTAGCCGCTGCGCATGTCCTGCAACGAGTCATCGCTCTCCTCCTGAACGCACAGCTCACCTCAACTTCCTCGTTCCAACTCTCCTTGCCCCCTCTTTTGCCTCTCCATGCCCCCTTCCCTATGCTACTACCCTGTTATCACCCAGCCTTCCCTCCTTTCCCTCCCTTTCCTCCTTCCACTCCCTCTTCTCATCCCCTCTCCCAACAACCCTCACTCATCTGTCGCACCAACCCTCTTCCGGTCCCTGCGTGCCCCCATGCCCCTCCCCGCGTTGCTTCCCTACCCCACACTCCACCGTGCCCGCTGACCTCCGTGAGCCCGCGGCTGCACCCCCTGCGTCCAACCCTCTCCTGCCTTCGCTGGCAGTCAAGCTGTTTTGCACGTGCTGGCAGTGTGGGGGCAGCTTCGGGGCGGCTGGCAGGCGTGGTCGGCCAGCAGCGACTGCTCCACCGTGCAGGGCGTCGCATGCGACGCTCGCAGGCAACGTCGTCTCCCTGGTACGTGAGGCATGTGAGTGCTGCTCCAGCGCATGTGAGTGCTGCTCCAGCGCATGTGAGTGCTGCTCCAGCGCATGTGAGTGCTGCTCCAGCGCATGTGAGTGCTGCTCTAGCGCATGTGAGTGCTGCTCCAGCGCATGTGAGTGCTGCTCCAACGCATGTGAGTGCTGCTCCAGCGCATGTGGGTGCTGCTCCAGCGCATGTGGGGTGCTGCTCCAGCGCATGTGAGTGCTGCTCCAGCGCATGTGAGTGCTGCTCCAGCGCATGTGAGTGCTGCTCCAGCGCATGCGAGTGCTGCTCCAGCGCATGTGGGTGCCTTCAGAGTACTCTCGGCCCGCTTGCCAGGGGCGTGCCAGCAACGTGTGCAGGTACTGGCTATGCCCCGGGGGTGCGTTCGGGTGGGCGGCTCTACTGAGAGTGAGAGTGCTGAACAAATAAGAGGGAAGATTGTGACGAGGGGCGGATGAAAAAGCAACGCGGAATGCTGTCTTGTCATGTGTGCGTGTGTGCAGTGCGGCAGATGGGACGCACCATCAACGTCCCAGGCATCCCTCTCCTCACCTCAGTACATTGCCCCATCTGTAGTCCTTCCACGTCTCCCCTCCCTCTCCCTCTCCTAATTGTTCATTTCCTTGCCCCAACCTTATACGTCCAACCCCATCCAACCCCATTTCGTGTATCCCGTCCATCCCCATGTTTCTCCATGTGTGCGCCACGCATGCAGCAAGCCGAGAGTGAATCATCTGAACATCTCCAAATGACATGAGCAAACCTCCTTCAGTGTCACCTACCTGTCAGTACCACCCTTACCCCCTCCTACCTAATCCATCCCACAACTACTTGGCTCTGTCCCTGTTTCATTGCATGAGTTTGTGTCACATGCCAGGTAGTCCCATGCTCTCTCCCTTTCTCGGATCCCTTCTTGACCATCTGTCCTCTGGAGGAACCGGCTGAGTTGATCAGCTTGTTGACCAACCTGATTTGAGTGATCTGCGCAGAACTGGCTGAGTTGATCCGTGCCTGAGTCCCTTATCTGTCGCACCTCAACCAACTCGCCACACTGTAATATATCCACTGCACTGAGAGATCTGGGCAGGCTCAATTGCTGAGGGGTGTCACTGGGTCGAAGAGGGTAGAGGGTTAGTGGTTGCGGGTGTACTGGCATGGGGCCACTGCGTGTGCAGAGTGAAAGAGTCTCAAGTTATGATTGTGATAAATGAGAGATAGGCTGACATAGGAAAGGAAACGGTGGGCAGATTGGATGAGTGCCCACACCATCATTGGTGGGTCAATTAGGTTGACCACGCAATGATTGGCCAACATTATTGGGGGATGGGGGGGGGGGGGGAAGGGGGGGCAATAATTGATTGGATGGCCCAGTCATTATTTGGGATCCCCCAACAAATACGGTCCAAAAATGTTGGGAAGCACTCAACCAAAATCGGTTGGGGCTACTTGAGCCAAAGTGTACCACATTGGTGTATCACTTACAGTAGTATTGACTAGCATATGCAACATTCTAACAGATAGATATTGAAAGACGAATGGGAGCGGGATTGCTGTGGTGCAGCGCGGACTATGTACAGGGCGTTGTGTGCATGCATGCATTCTTGTGCGTTAGCACTCAGCACTGCACCATGCAAGAATATTGGGGCTCTGCTTTTACCAAGGCTATCCCATGCATGTCTATCTCGTTGTCCGTAGCACTCAGTGGGGCACATAACGCATCGCCAGTGGTCCATTCCATTCCCTGTAACCATGTGCAGGAGCCTTTCGGTCAACGGGTTCACTGTGGACAGCAGTCTTGCCCTCAGCACCATCTCCACCCTCGATATCATGTCAGCCACCCCATTGCCTCGCCCACCCTGCTGTTGCATCTGCACGTGTTATTTGTTCACTCATAGCGCCATGCGGCTCTCCTTTTGCCATGCCCTGCTCTGACTGTCCTCCTCGCCTTGCTGCATGCAAGGCAGTGAAGCTCCGCTCCTGTCAAGATAACGATGTTTGCAATGCCCCCTTGAGTCTGATAAAGTGATGCTGCAGCCCTCAACAATATTACTTACGCGCCTAGGCCATGTGGATGTTTCTCGAGCTCTTGAAAGAAGTCAGATTGATTAAAATGGATCATGCAACTGCCTCTGTTCCCCTGCTCTGCCTTAGAGTCGACTACAAGCTCTGTGCTTTTTAGCCGACTGAAAAGAAGCTGTCTCCATCCTGTGCTCTGCCGTGCAGCGACCTGCACAATAACAACTTCCCTGGCGCCATTCCTGATTAGAACTCCACCCTACCCACACTGATGAGCATGTATGCATACATCATGAGCATGCATGCAGTCATCATGAGCATGTATGCAGTTACCATGAGCATGCATCCAGCCATCATGAGCATGTATGCAGACATCATGAGCATGTATGCAGTTACCATGAGCATGCATCCAGCCATCACGAGCATGTACGCAGTCATCATGAGCATGTATGCAGTCATCACGAGCATGTATGAAGTCATCATGAGCATGTATGCAGTCATCATGAGCATGTATGCAGTCATCATGAGCATGTATGCAGTCATCATGAGCATGTCTGCAGTCATCATGAGGATGTACGCAGTCATCATGAGCATGGTATGCTGTCATCATGAGGATGTATGCAGTCATCATGAGCATGCATCCAGCCATCACGAGCATGTATGCAGTCATCATGAGCATGTATGCAGTCATCATGAGCATGCATCCAGCCATCATGAGCATGCATGCAGTCATCATGAGCATGTATGCAGTCATCATGAGCATGCATGCAGTCATCATGAGCATGTATGCAGTCATCATGAGGATGTATGCAGTCATCATGAGCATGTATGCAGTCACCATGAGTACGGTATGTACGCCGTTCATTCTGTCACTGCATGGGGCCAAGAATCTGCTCGTGGAACTGTGACTCACAAGTTGTGAGAGCGCGTGCGGTGTTCTTTTCAATCTCTGGGCTAATCACCGCTCCACCGAAAATTCCTCTTTCCCTACCGTACTCCAGCCTTAGTAATGTCTTGAATAGACGCTTGACACCAATCATTATAGCTTTAGGGCTCAACATACATCATAGACACTTTTTTATGCTTGTGAGCGATTCATTGTGTGCACAGGGTACAGCCGAAACATAGTGTATGGATCCAGAACGAGATTTTAGTCTACAGACCTCCACTCCCCCGTTTTGGCCCCTGCTTCATAAGGGACACTGCCCTAAGGACAGAGGCAGTGGTTTATGATAATGGATTTCGCCGAAACCCACTATCTGGTAGCTCTCTCATTTGTCCGCTCTGATGTTTGTAGCACTCGTGCTACTTGTCAGGCCTATCACATCACGATAGGAGACACGTGTAGCATGCTGAAATCATGCTCTCCTTTCTTATCCCCAACCTAGTGTTTAATCAAGCCATGTATTTACAGGGAGCTGGCACGGTCAAACATTGGTGGAACCTAGCCCCTCTATTGGAACCCTGAGTCACCTTGACATCTCGCCAACCATAACCCATCCCTGTAGCTTCTCTCTTGGTGTTTGCCTTGCTTGCCTGGTGTGTTGCTGGTGCAACCTCCTGTGCATGTATGATTCTGAGTCTCCTTGGATTTGCATCAGTCTATGTCAGTAGCTATGAGGACAAGAGTCATCAGAAAGGTACTGAGACATTGCGTGTTAATGACATATATGCAGACTGCAATAGAATGCGCTCTCTCTCGTTCACGTCAAGGACTCCCTTATCGTTCCATCATCATAGTCTGTGATGTATCACGTGTGCACACGACGTCTTCCACGCTGTGGGTTCAGGTAGCGGGAGGGTTGGGGCTCAGGGGCACGGTCCCCAGATCATTCTCCTTCAGAACTTGGGCTTTTTGTGTGTGCACCCTGGCTGCTTGCTGTTGTATCCAGTGTCCCCTTGGCGTCTGGTCCAATCACACTTATCCAAGTTACCATCCTTGACATGTAGTTGAAATCATGCTTGAATGCAACGCAACTGCATGCAACAACAGCACTCCATGCTACCTCTGCTGAGGGCCTTAGGAAGCGCACTCAACCCTGCTAGATGGGACTCCAAGTGCTGCCATGCCATGCACGCCGCGTTCACGAGTTGTCTTCGGATGTGCTTTCTTCCAGCTACCTGAACAGGAACGTCCTCTCTGGCGATGTGTACGGCATCACACGCAATATGACCAGCCTTGTCACGCCTGCACGTGCATGGGGGGAATCGCATATGGCATGCACCATGTGCTATTTGCCATGTCCCAGGTCCCATGTGCCAATGGGCCATGTGCCATTTGTTACTTGCCTTGGTGTGTTGAGGGGGGTCCTGAAAGAGCCCATTCTAAGAGAGCATTGGATTGGGAAGGAGGACTACAGATAGGACTGAAAGTGCTTGTTACACCAAGCCCCTTCCTTTGGTCCAATGGTTTATCTGTATGTTCAAGGCTCATCTGCAACAGAACACTGCATCTTTCCTCTGCACCACCCTGGCGTGTTCACTTCTCACCCACTCTTGTCACACCCCCGCTCATGCGCCATTTTCCCACCCACTCCTCGCCTTGGCTCTCCCTGCCCTCGCCCCCCCTTCTTTACAGTGACATGTCAGCCAACCAGTGACAGGGTGACTGCCATTGCCCCTGTCGCCCTACCTGCAGCCAACCAGTTCCCGCCCTACCTACCCTACACCACCGCAACTTCTTCTTCCACGGGACCATCATCCCGCCCGAGGCCAACCACACCTACCTTGGCAACGCCTTTGAGCATTGTCTGCTCAACGCATCCCGGGCGCCTGGAGACTACTTGGAGCAGAGGAGTGCAGAGGAGTGTGGTGCGTTCTGTGGGGTTGCTGCTGGGGATTGCCAACCCCTGTGCAGCGGGCATGGCATGTGCTCCTTCAGTGAGTCTGTGCAGGAATCAGTATGCACCTGCGATAGCAACTTCGACAACCAGGCCGACTGCCCTCGTGCTCCTACAGTGGTGTGTATACACAAGTTTTGGGAGAGACTGAGTGATCTGGTGTAAGAAGCAGATGACACTCTCTTGTTGTGCCCTTTGATTGCGTTGCATACCCTGCTCATTCCTCGTAATTGTTACCATTACAGCTGCATCGCAATTGAAACCTCTCGAACTCCTGGTGTTGATTTATTTACATCCAAGCATATTTCTTCCGTTCCGTTTGCACCCATCTGCCTTGCCTCACTCTGGATAACCCTGCAATTCTCCCTTCAACCAAATCATCACAGACAACAGCAGTCTCCCTGGCAGGTGCAGCAGCGCAACCATTCAATGGCACCATCATCCTCACGCCCCCCACCAGCAACACGTCAGGAGCAGCACAGTGCAGCGCCCATCTGCCTCTTCCTTTTGATTGACAACCCTGGCCCGTGTAGCACGCCCTTTGTGTTCAATGCCTTCTTTAGCTTCGCCAGTCAAGTACATGGGGGGAGAAGGTTTTGTGTCAGTCGTAGGTCACTTTCAGGTCACACTCAGATCGCTCTAGAAACTCTCATAATGAGAGTCTCATATCACTTTCAGGCCACTCTCAGGTCACTCTCAGGTCACTCTCAGGTCAAACTCAGGTCAAACTCAGGTCAATTTCAGGTCAGGTCTCGTATCAGTTTCAGGTTGGCCTTAGGTCAAATAAGGTCAAATCAGGTCAGTCTAAGGTCAAACACAGGTCAGTCTTTTGGTCAGTTTCTGGTCAGTCTCATGTCAGCCTCATGTCAGTCTGAGGCCAGTCGTGGGTGCAGGTATGATGCAGGGCCATGCCTTCCACAAACACGAGATACCCACAATCTCCCACACTACCCTTAGTCCTCCCCACCCTACCGTCAGCAACCACTGACCTACGTACCATTGGCGCTTTAGCCCCAACAAGCCATATTTAGCAGCCACAAGGCCAAGATTGGCACCCAGAACAATGAGCAGGGGACTCTCGATGCTGAACTGGCTCTCATGAGAGGTTAGGTACATTATTAGAAAGTGTGCCTACTTCTTAGCATTCAGATTCCTCACCTCCCTGCCTTTTTTCCTGCCATGATAAACGTACGTTCATGATTTCTTGGCGGTTGAAGGCTGAGTTTGTAGTCAAGCTGCAAGGATACATTATGGTTCAAACTACAAATTGTATCAAGTAAAGATTTTATTAACCTTGGACTGTGCATGCTCCATCCATTCCACAACACAGTAACTTGCACTGTTCCAGATTAAAATGGTTCACAACCATCTGCAGTGCCTTGTTTGAATGATGTGTTTTCATCTAGAATAGAGAGTAATTAATCAGAAATGTTACAAATTGGTTAGCTTGGAAGATGTCACGCGTGTGAGCACAGTCAGTGACAAATCAGGCTAGGAGATCTAATCGAAGACACCCTTTTTCTATGCACAATTCACAAATATCTATCAAGCTTATGGTCGGTACGGTAGCACTTTTTATGAACAGGCTTTATAATTTCAAAAACAGCACTAGAAGTCTAGTGCAAGCATCTTGCTCTTGCACAGGTTCTTCTAATCCAAAAATATCCATCGTGCATGGAGGGAGTGGACGAGACAATGGGTGCAGGAGTCCAAAGGCTCAATGCAGGAGCGCATGCATAGAAAGCAAGACCATAAGAAACAGCGACTACTTGGAATAAAATGATTGGGAAGAGTGGGGGGTATGAGAGGAGTGGGGTCTATGACATAATTGGGGTGTGTAAACGGAGTTGGGGACATGAGAGGAATTGGGGGTAAGGGAGGAGTGGGGAGATGGGTGGAGAGGGGGGTATGAGAGGCATGGATGGTAATAGAATCGTGGTGGTTATGAGGTGAGTGGGGTGTATGAGAGGAATGGGGGGCATAGAGGTATGGTGGGTATGAGAGGAGTGAGGGGTATGAGAGGAACCAGGTTTATCAGAGGAGTGGAGGTTTGAAAGGAGTGAAGGTTATGAAAAGAGGGGATGTAGTGAGGAGTGGGGGATTCAAGAGGAGGCTGGTATGAGAGGAGTGGGGGGTATAAGAGGAGTGAGGAGTAACAGAGGGGGTATGGTAGGAGTTTAGGGGCATGAGAGGAATATAGAGGCATGACAGAAGTGGGGTTTACGAAAGGAGGGAGTTTATGAGAGGAGTGAGGAGTATAATACCGTCATTGCCCGGTAAGTAGACAGTGTTGAATAATAGACAGGGGTTGTCTATTATCCGGGGTGTCTCTTATAGACAAGCTCGCCTCATTATAAGACACCTATTTGTGTGTACGCGTTAAGCCAGTGTAGAGGTTAGGGGCAATCTTATAGCGAGGGGGTATCTTCTAAACAGTTCTTTTTCCATTTATAAGAGTTATAAGACACCCTAAATCGTCCCAAATACAAGACAACCCCAGCAATTTTGCCCGTGTACGAGATAAGACTAGGGATGAGCAAAATCCTGAACGCCTGTTCGGTTCGCCTCGAACATGTTCGAGGCGAACCGAACAGGCATTTTTTTTTGCCTAAATGGTTCGGGCCGAACATGTTCGGTGTTCGGCCGAACATGTTCGACGTTCGCCCCAGGATTTCGGCTCTCCAAGCCGAACACGAACATGTTCGTGTTCGACTTGGGGGCCACGCGAACACCAAAAATGTTCGCGTCAAAATTGGCCGCGACCAGATTTAGGTCGCGGCCAATTTGTGTTTGAGCTCATTTCGTGAGCTCAAACCTCAGAAGTCGTTTTCGCCTTAGCGCTCCCTCACACAGCCGCCCTAGCCTCCTTGTTCTAGGTGCAAGCAAGTGCACGCTGCACACTTGCAATGTAAGCAGGACATTAGATAGATAGATCTATGCATAGGGTTTAACGTAGTGTAGGGAGTTTAGGGTTACTATGTAAGGTTCAGCGAGCATCTCGTAAAGGGCTCAAGTAGGGCGTATCCTACGCCGTAGGATTCGGATCAGGCATTAGGAACGTGCGGCACCATCCAACGCTACCGTTGCAGGAAGGGTGTTTTAGGGTTTAGGGTCGAGGGCGGAGTTATGGCTTCCAGGGCTGGTGGATCCATAGGCCGAGGTGCAGGCAGGGCTCAGGGCAGCGCACCGGGATCTCCACCACGACCTATGCAGGGGCGAGTAGGGGATGGACCGGGAGGAGCCGGCGCGATCTTCGTTGGAGGGACTGCTTACCGTACCGGCGCCGACCTCTCGTCGCTCTTTCCGTTACGACGGCCCTCGACCCCCTCCTTCGGGCAGACGCCGACGCAGCTGGAGAGCGGCAGTGAGGAGGAGGATGAGGAGGAGGATGGTGAGGGCGAGAAGGAGGAGGACACTGAGGGGAGCGAGGATGACAGCGAGGCGGCGTGGGACCCAGAGACGCATGGCGGTGGGGAGGGGGGAGATGATGATGAAGACCACGAGATGGAAGGTTTGGAGCCAGAGGGGTGGGAGGAAGAGGTGGGAGAGGGTGGTGGAAGGGCGGCGACAGAGGCGGGATCACAGCATGTGCGTGAAGGGGGAGGGAGCGTGGGGGTTAAGGTGGGGGGGAGAAAGGCCGTGACCATTAGGGAGCCGAGGCAGAGGAAGAAGGCCAACAAGTTGAGGGAGCGGGCATATCCCTGCACGTTCACTGGGGAGCCCTTGGGCGAGGGTGTGATCACTCCCGAATTCCTAGACGAGGACGGAGGGTCCGAGAGTAGTAAGGGGAATGGCAAGGGTAATAGGAAGCCGCGGGTGGCAAGTAATGATGTTCGGACCGTTAGGGGCAGACGATAAGCGTTAGTGCAAGATTTGCACAGGACAGGATTTCGTGGAAGCAATCCACAACAACCCCCGGCGAGCGGCACTTTGCGAGCTTCCACACTGCGCACATGCATGTGTGGCATCACCGTTACCACACCCCGTCCGTTCACTCACCAGGGAAGACGTTTCCACGTGGGGGCTACAAGGGAGTGCCGGATGGCTACGTCTATCAGTGGCCACATGCCAAGACTTGGCCGCAGCTCGCCAAGGGGAAAGGGATGGCGACTGGTGGAGGTCATGGTTCAGGCGGGATGGAGCGGTGGATGACAACCAAACTGACCTCGGTGCAGCTACGGCAGGCGATCACGAAGCTGGTGGTCACCTGCGACCTCCGCTTCCGCATCGTCGAGGCCGAGGGTGTAAGTGCCCCATCCCATCCCATGCATGATTGGGCAAGTATGTGGTTAGTGGACGTGTCTGTCCCTTTGTGTTTTGACTGTTTGCGTGTGGCCCAGTGCAGTGCTATATTATTTTCATCCCATCCCCCTGACGTTTACTCCTCTCTCCCCCCTTGTCTCTACCCCTCTCCAGTTTCGTGAGCTACTCATCCTGCTAAACCGCAACTGCGCGCAGAAGAACTTCATCCCCTCGCGCTGGACGGTTTCCCGCGATATAGTGGTCTATGCGGCTGCCGCTCTTCAGTCAGCCATTGCGGAGATGCTCGCGAAGGAGGGGGAGCTGGGGTGCAAGGTGTCGTTCACCATCGACATGTGGACGTCGCCCAACAACAGGGCGTAGCTAGTGGTAACGGGTCACTGGATCGACGAGAATTACCAGCTGCGCACAATGGTGTTTGAATTCCGCGAGATTCACGGGCGTCACACGGGCAAGCAGATGGCGAGGGTGGTTGAGGAGACTGTGGTGCAGTGGAGGTTGGAGACGTGTTGTTTTGGGTTCACCTCAGACAACGCCTCCAGCAACACTGCCGCTTTCAGGTGGATGTCGGAGGAGGGTGGTGGCCAGTGCTTCTTAAACTTGCACATGCACTTCCAGTACGAAAGGGAGTGTGCGTGGGATGTGCGATGAGGGAGTCTGGGTGCGTCGTTCCTGTGATGTGAACATGTTGTGGTTGTAGTACAGGCGGGTGGGCCTATGCGGCTTGAGAGTGGTAGTGTTTCTCGGATCTATGCCAATGTGTACTCACACTTCCCTTTCTCTCCGCCATGAATGTTTTGTGATGTGCGCAGATGCCTGGCACACGTGATCAACCTTGCAGTGAAGGCAGCACTCGTTGTGACCGCCATCCGCAAGTTGCTGAAGATTACGAGAGAGATGGCGTCGTGGATAGGCTTCTCGCCGCAGCGCTCAGGGAAGTTCTTGGGCCTTCAGCGGACCCTGAACGCGCAGGGCAACCCCGCCAAACCGAAGCCGGAATTGAAGCTGGTGCAGGACAGTCCCACACACTGGGGGTCGACCCACGACATGGTAGAGCGAGCCGGGGTTCTGCACGAACCCATCTCTGTCTTCTTTGCCCAGACACAAGTGTGTGTGTGTGCCACGTGTTGTGTATGCGGTTTTATGTGTTGGTATGTCGGTCGGGGTGTTTTGTTCTGGGACTTGCACCACTGTTGGCCATGCTTGACTAAACTTTTCGGACCTCCAACAACCTCAACCACCCCACTTTCCACCCTAACACCCGCCCACCCATACGTTCTACCCGACAGGGCGTGTCGAAGGCTGACAAGGCGAAGATGGACACCTTGCGCCTGACGGACGTAGACTGGGAGACTCTGCATTATGTCAAGACCTTCCTCAGCCCATTCGCCAAAGTCTCCAAGGCCGCGGAGGGAGCGGCGTACCCTACAGTGGCGATGGTCCTGCCGTACTACAACGGCCTGATCGACGCTATGGAGTTGCGCCTTGCCAAAGGGCCATCGGCTACACTGAAGCCGATGATTGAGGCGGCGCTGGGTCTCTTGAAGAAGTATGAACTAATGTCAAGCAACGAGTTGTGGATCGCCACCTTCCTGGACCCTTCCATGAAGGCGGTGTGGTTCAACGATGCGCACTGGGAGACGCTGCATCCCGATACCGACCGGAGGGCGAGGCCTCGTCCCTCTTCAGGCGAGGTGATCCAGCTGGTTCGCGAACGTGTGGCCGAGTACCAGGCCCGGGCTGCAGCGATTGCCCCTCGGCCGACCCCACTTGCCCCAGTGACGGAGGAGGAGGAGGGAGACGCGGCGGATGACGACGAAGACGCCGAGTTTCTCCCTAGTCGCCGACGCCTTGCGGCGCGTCTATCGGCGAGCCAGGAGGGGGGGAGGGGTGGGATGGTGCAGGATGACGAGGTTCGCAGGTACTTATCTGAGAGGGTGCGGTGCGACGTGTCAGCGTTGGAGTATTGGCACAGCGCCACCAACATGCGGACGTTGAGGCGCATGGCCCGGGATTATCTTGCCATCCCTGCCACGTCCGCGTCGAGCGAGCGCGTGTTCTCCCTCGGCCGCAACCTCATATCCTGGAAGCGGCACCGCCTAGCCTCTCAGAGGACGCGAGCTTCCATGATTCTCAGATCATGGTACACCTCACACCCTGGACAGAGGATAGGCGAGGGCCGCCGTGCAAAAGGCGAGGCACCACCAGAGTTCGCCATTGAAGGCGAGGGGGAGGAGGAGGACGACGAGTGGGAGGAGGAGGAGGGGGAGGAGGAGCAGGTGGGGGTGGGTGCTGACGACACCTCTGACGCGGAGCATGCTGTTGTTGGTAGTAGCAGTGGTGTGCAGGCGTAGGATTTAATTTGACAGTGACTCTTATATAGGCAAAACATGATGGTGTCGTATGCTAGTGTGCGTTGCATGAACACATATACACCCTCCACCCCCTATCTATCTACCCAACCCTCCAGATTCCGTGTTTGACCAATGTGACTATAATGAAAGTGCCCACGGGCGAACTCGAACATGTTCGAGTTCGCCCACACATACCAAATGTTCGCCCCCAAGGGCGAACGACGCACACCTCTTGAACCCTAAATTGTGATGAGGGTGACTGTTACCAGTGTTTCCCGCCCGACCCGGGCATTGGTACGGCTGCGCTAGGTGCTGGTGAGGCTGCGCTCTCAGGTACTAGTGAGGCTGCGCTCTCAGGTACTGGTGAGGCTGCGCTCTCAGGTACCGCGTCGGATTCGACCTCTCTCACCTTTACACTTGACTCTGGGGCTTCTCGCTCCTTTCGGGATCGCACCACACTCACGCCGCTTGGCCGGCCGGTTGCGGTCTCCATGGCTGACCCCTCTGGGGGTCCTGTCCTCTCTCACTTCTCCACTGTTCTACCGTGTCCAGCTGCCCCCTCGGGCGCCCTGTCAGGCCTGTACCTCCCCTCGTTCTCGACGAACTTGGTGAGTGGTGCTGCCCTATAGGATGCGGGGGTTAACCAGTTTACTCCTGCGAGTCAGCGGGTGACCCACTGCTCGGACGCGCGCACAGGTCGGCACCTGGCCATGTTCTCCCGTCGGCCGGGGTCGAGCCTCTACACCCTGACCACTGAGTCTCCTCCTGTCCCTGTGTCTGACCAGGTAGCTGCGTCGGGTCAGGTGTTTTCTGCTGCGTCCAGGTCTGGTCTTGAGTCTGCCCCCTGCTCGTGTCGCCTCCTGTCTCACGAGACTCTCCTGTGGCACGACCGTCTTGGCCACCCCTCCTTGCCACGTCTCAGGGACATGGCTTCCTGTGTCCTTGTCTCTGGTCTTCCCCGGTCTCTCCCTCCCCTTCCTTCGGGGCCAGGACCTTCCTGTGTCCCTTGTGTCAAGGGGCGCCTCCGGGCTGCCCCCCACTCCTCCCAGTTTCCTCCGACAGAGGCTCCTTTGCAGACGCTTCACATGGACGTGTGGGGCCCGGCCCGCGTCCGTGGACAAGGTCACGAGCGCTACTTTCTGCTGGTGGTTGACGACTACTCGCGTTTCACCACAGTCTTCCCCTTGCGCAGCAAGGGTGATGTCACTGCGGTGCAGATCGACTGGATCCGCAAGGCTCATCTCCAGCTCAGGAGGAGCTTCGGCTCGGACTTTCCTGTTCTGCGTCTGCACTCTGACCGTGGTGGGGAGTTCTCCTCTCGTCTTCTCCGAGACTACTGTCGTGCACGGGGGATCCGCTAGACCTTTACGCTTCCGGACTCTCCACAGCAAAAATGGGATTGCTGAGCGCCGCATTGGCATGGTCATGGACGTCGCCCGCACGTCCATGATGCATGCGGCTGCCCCCCATTTTCTGTGGCCGTTTGCGGTGAGGTACGCGGCGCATCAGATCAGCCTTCACCCCGGGGTTTCCCGGCCGGGGAAGGTCCGTACCTCCCCGGCCCTCCTGTGGACTGGGAAGGTCGGCTATGCGTCTGCGTTCCGTGTCTGGGGATCTCGAGCGTTTGTCCGCGACTTGTCTGCGGACAAGCTGTCCCCCCGTGCTTCTCCCTGTGTCTTCCTTGGCTTCCCCCCTGACACTCCAGGGTGGCAGTTCTACCACCCCTCCTCTCGTCCTGTTCTGTCCTCCCAGGACGTCACGTTCAACGAGTCCGTCCCCTTCTACCGCCTCTTCCCCTACCGCACTACTTCCCTCCCCCCGCCACCGGACTTCCTTGTGCCAGGTCCCCCCCCGGTAGACCCCCTCCCCCCTCAGGTTCCTGCCCCTTCAGGTGTGTCCCAGGTAGACGCAGTCGAGCCGGTCGAGGTTGCTAGTGACTCTGGTCCTGCTGCGGTTGCTGAGCCTGGGGGTGCTGACTCTGGGGGTGCTGTGCGCGTGGGTGCTGCGTCTGGAGCTGCTGAGCGTGGGGGTGCTAGGTCTGGGGGTGCTGCGTCTGGAGCTGCTGAGCCTGGGGGTGCTGAGTCTGGGGGTGCTATGCCGGGAGCTGCTGCGCCTTGGGGTGCTGCGTCTGGAGCTGCTGAGCCTGGCTGTGCGGAGCCTGCGGTTGCTGGACCTCCCCTTGTGGCGTCTGGCGGTGCTGGGCCTAGAGGTTCTCCGGGTGCTCTGTCTCGGCGGGAGCCGCTCTCTCCACAGGAGCTGCGCGAGTGGTTTTCTCGACGCTAGGGGCGTACTACTGATGCTGGTGCTTCTTCGGCCGCTGAGGGTACTGGTGCCGCCGGTCCCGGAGCTGCTGGGCCTGCGGGTCCTCCTGGAGCTGGAGCTGCTGAGGGTGTTGGTGCTGAGACTGCTTCTGTCTGTCCTGGCGGTGGTCCTGCCGCTGGTGGTGCTGTTGGCGGTGGTGCTGCTGCTGAGGGTTCTGGTGCTGTCCCTGCTGTGTCTGGAGTCCCCGCGCGGCCTCGATCGTACTTCGTTCCGCTCGTGCAGCAGGTTCTTGGTCTTCCTCCTTCTGTAGAGTGTTCGCCGTCTGTCCAGTCGCCGTCACTGTTAGAGCCGGCCTCCCCACTGCCTGCTCCCTCTCCTTACACTGGTCCTACTGGAGGTCTCGCTGAGCGTCGTGAGCCTGCATCTCGTCCCGCGTCGCCTGTTCGTGCTGCTCGCACTAGTGGTCGCAGTTCGCGTCAGCGTCCTCCTCCTGTCCCTGGCACGCACCGGATGTCTCTGCATCCGTCCACTGCTCCTCTACGTGCCCCTTTGCCTTCTCCTCCTCAGTCTTCTCTTCCTGCGCTTTCCGACCCGGAGTCAGACTCTCTTCGTGCTGCCAGTCCTAATGTCACGCGTCTTCTTGCTACTGTCGTCACTGACCCCTCTTTCGAGTCCACTGCTGCGTCTGCTCTTGTCGCTGAGCTCGTCGACTTTGCTGCTCGCTGTCGTCTAGACTACGCTGCTAGTCTTGTTGCTGGGTCTGCGTCTGTCTGTCCTCCGTCCGTCCGGGGTGAGTGTGCTCTTGACACGGACGTCCTTGAGGACAGGCAGGAGGAGTTCCAGTGTCTGGCTGCTGCTTCACCTCATCTCGCGTCTGTACTACTTGCCCCTGAGGGAGACCCGGATGCACTAGACATCCCGACTCCGCGTTCTTACACGGAGGCCGTAGAGGGTCCCTACTCCTCTTAGTGGCAGGCAGCTATGGATGCAAAGATGGCTTCCTAGAAGTCCACAGGCACCTACGTTGACGAGGTTCCCCCTCCTGGGGCGAACATCGTCAGTGGCATGTGGATCTTCAGGGTGAAGCGGCCGCCTGGCTCTCCACCTGTCTTCAAGGCGCGGTACGTTGCTCGTGGCTTCAGTTAGCGGCAGGGAGTTGACTACTTTCAGACCTTCTCTCCCACCCCAAAGATGACTACTCTTTGGGTGCTGCTGCACATAGCCGCTCAGCGCGACTACGAGCTTCACTCTCTTGACTTCAGCACTGCTTTCTTGCAGGGCAGCCTGCACGAGGAGATCTGGCTGCCCTGTCCGCCTGGCTTCACTGGGACTTTCCCTCCTGGCACCCAGTGGAGCCTCCGACGGCCAGTCTACGGTCTCCGCCAGGCACCGCGTGAGTGGCACGACACACTGGGGACTACACTTGCGGCTCTTGGGTTTGCTTCCTCTACTGCTGACCCGTCGTTGTTTCTGCGCACCGACACTTCTCTCCCGCCGTTCTACATCCTCGTGTACGTCGACGACTTGGTCTTTGCCACTGCTGACACTGCTGGACTCGCCTACGTGAAGTCCGAGCTGCTGAAGAGACACACGTGCACAGACCTGGGTGAACTGCGCAGCTACCTTGGCTTGCAAATCACTCGGGACAGAGCACGCCGCACCATTACCTTGACTCAGTCACACATGGTGCAGCAGGCCCTTCAGCGCTTCGGCTTCACGTACTCCTCGCCTCAGGCCACTCCTCTGGCTACTCGCCACTCGCTCTCAGCTCTGCCTTCGGATGAGTCCGTAGAGTCGAGTGGCTCGTACCCAGAGCTTGTTGGCTGCCTCATGTACCTAATGACCTGCACACGACCTGACCTTGCATACCCTCTTAGCATTCTTGCACGCTATGTTGCTCCTGGGAGACACCGACCAGAGCACATGGCTGTAGTGAAGCGGATGTTGCGCTACTTGTGCAGTACGTTGGGCATGGGGCTAGTGCTTGGAGGGCGCAGTCCAGTGGTCCTCACTGGTCACGCGGACGCTTCTTGGGCTGACGACCAGGCTACGCAGCGGTCGTCGCAGTGGTACACCTTCAGTCTTAGTTCTGGCTCTGTTTCTTGGCGGGCTACTCGCTCGTCTTCTGTTCTCGGCTCCAGCTGTGAGGCTGAGATCTACGCCGGGGCCATGGCTGCAGAGGAGCTTTGCTGGCTCACCTACCTGCTGACTGACCTTGGAGAGCCGCCTCGTTCTCCTCCAGTGCTGTACGTAGACAACAAGGCCATGCTGGCCTTGTGTCGAGAGCAGCGCTTGGAGCACAGAACGAAGCACATTGCTATACGCTACTTCCTTGCTCGTGAGCTGCAGCAGCGTGGTCAGTTGCGACTTGCGTACGTGGCCTCTGAGGCCAACACTGCTGATGTTTTCACCAAGGCACTTCCGCCTTGTGATCATCAGCGCTTCTGCACTCAGCTGGGACTTGTACCTGTCCTACCTCACTTGCTCACCTCTTGACCTTGCTTTTACTCTTGCATATATATATATATACCTGCTCTTGCTTGTTTAGCCTTATATATATATGTCTCCTCTTGCATGTGAACTGGCCTTGTGGCGTTGACCTTATGCTCGGACTGTGTGGTGACTTTGTGATCCACCCTGAGCTTTGCTTTGCTTTGCTTGACTGGTCTTGTGACCCCTTGTTCTCCCCCACTTTGCCTATGGGGGTGTGTCAGAACATATAGCTTATGGTGTTGTGTAGGTTATAGTGGGGTATCCCATAGGGGGTACAATCCAATTAGGGTTTGTACTTGTACTCACACATTTCATAGTTCATTCATTCACGTTCCTTTTGTCTCATGTACAGCAGTTGTGTGCCACATATTGCATCATTAGTAAAGGCATAACGTCATTGTTGCCGGGAGTGCAACAAACAAATGCGTGCTAAGGGTAACGTACGTAAATTGTGTTGATGTTCGGGTCGTTGGGTACGTCACGATTGATGGAACGACGAAGATATGGGAGGTTGTTATGTAGGCTGTCCAGATACAATTGGTCTCGCTTTGGGTCAGGCTTGGAGAATCCGACATATGGGTGCTCGCGACGACGCGCGTGAACGATCAACCCCCATGAACTCTTAGAGAGTGTACGTGCTCCTATCTTCAATGCCTGTACAAAGTTCATAAAAAAATCAGACTGGTACCATCCTTCAACATGAGAAAAGTAAGGCTTGATTGTCACTGTAAAATATACGTACCTGACGCATTGCATTACTGTATTCGTGTGTAGTGTCCAAGTCGGCTTGAGGTAGCGAATCCAGTTGCAAGCGTACCTCCTCCGCTTGGATGATTTGTCCACCCGCGTCACGCTTGTTGGATGCACGGTATGGCCTCTTGATATGGTCCTTGTGAAAGTGCTCAAACATGCTTGCATCATAGTGGAGTGGAGGGCCTGCACGGCGAATTGCGTCGATGTAGTGACTCATCAAGTGGGTCTTGATAAATCCCCATTTGTAGAGAGGGAAGCTCTTTTTTAGAAGCTCAATCAACCTGCAAATACACTCACACAAGATGTAGTCGGGTCGAAGGGCATATTACAATTATGTACATGCAATGTAGAAAGCGTACGAGCCTCTTGGATTGTTCCTCGAGTTTTGTCAAGGTTTCCTCGTCCTAGTCTCTCGTCTTTCCACACGTGTGATACCACTCGATGTATGCCACAATGGCGTCCATCTGTGGTTTCGCCACATAGTCTCGAATGAGGAAAGGAAGGATTTGCATGACAGACCTGTGCTCGTAAGCTTGGAACGAAGCACCTAGACGGAAATACTCTCCAGATGGTAGGCGCAAACCATCAACCCGACATGTCAACTTCAACTGCTTCAAGATGCTGCAAGGAAGGAGAGAGAGATACATTAGTCTTATGCACTGTGGAACATTAGAAAGAATGGTGTCAAGCGATGTAACGTACTCGTCAATGGCGACGTGGTATTTTTTATCAATGACCCCTCTCAAGGCGGCAATAATGTGCTCCAGCATGCCAAGATCAGCCTGATGCATTAGGTCTGGCATCACTGCCATATAAGGGCTGCCCCACGGCTCTGACTCAAAACGGAAGCCATGAAGCGCGCACTGCGTTGGGTTTAGAATGGCAGGAGAGTGTTGAGTGAAACATGACTAGTATATGACGCAAGAACAGTGGATTGTTTTGCACATACCTCTACATGATGAGTGCTGTAGGTTTGCGGGTGAGGCCCACCTCGTTGCCGTGCAGAGACGGCCTTGTAGATGACATCTTGTTCTTCAGATGAGCGATATTCGTCTCTCTGCGTGAAAGAGTCTAACTCAGTTTTGTGGACCTTGCATAAGGAACAGGGGTATAATGTACCTAGAGACTTGGTGCAGGTGAGTTTGCACGTCTCTGGGTAGTCCGCCACATAGGCGTATAGTGCTGGGTAGGCCGTGAAAACGTGACCAGACTGGTCATGCACACGGGTCCCCCTGAAAAATCGAAATGTGGGCAACGGGGCAAAGAGGTAAGACAACTAGAGAGAAGGGAAGCATGGGCACAGCAATCCGAGAAGGAGGGTACGGGGATGAGAGGAGGGAAGTAAAGGACGCAAAAGGGCAGCGAGGTTGGAAGAATGCTAAGAGCGAAGCATGGGGCAGCAATCTGAGAAGGAGCGGAGAGAGATGAGTAGGAGGGCAGTCACAGAAGCAAGGCCCATAGTGTTGAAAGGAAGTGCATCATGTGGCGAGCATGGCGAGCAGGATAGGTCAGGGATGAGTATGGGGGCACTTACACGTGTGAAGCATCTTTCAATGGTTGAAGAACGAGGCGCAAGACATACTGGAAGATCTGCAGTCGGTCAACCGACGTGTACTCCGCCGGAAACTCCGGTAACGTTGCAATGAGCGCATGCCCGTATGGCTTCCAGCGATCCTCATGATGAATGTTTCCCAATGACATGTAGATGGGATGCCCCTTAGCTTTTCCTCGGCCGTCAGCTATTGTCTCATCCGACGAGAGAATGAGAGTGGCAACGACGTCGTCGATGCCAAGGCGATCCTGTTGGGGGGTTGGAAGAAGGGTTCGGAGGGAGATACAAAGACAGGATGTGAGGGGCTATAGTTACAGAGTTAAGGACAGTGAGAGAGAGGGATGTGCTTGGGACAGACGGTGTAGCAAGTACAGGTTGGGAGGGGCTAGAATAACTGAGAGTGGGGCCAGATTATTGAAAGAAGCGCAGGGGAGAGAAGGAATGGCAGGGAGAGGTAGAGTGGGACTGGAAAACCAGAATGCGGGGCAAGGCGTGAGAGGGAAGCGCAGGGGAGAGAAGGAATGGCAGGGAGAGGTAGAGTGGGACTGGAAAACCAGAATGCGGGGCAAGGTGCGTGAGGGAAGCGCAGGGGAGAGAAGGAATGGCAGGGAGAGGTAGAGTGGGACTGGAAAACCAGAATGCGGGGCAAGGCGCGTGAGGGAAGCGCAGGGGAGAGAAGGAATGGCAGGGAGAGGTAGAGTGGGACTGGAAAACCAGAATGCGGGGCAAGGCGCGTGAGGGAAGCGCAGGGGAGAGACGGAATGGCAGGGAGAGGTAGAGTGGGACTGGAAAACCAGAATGCGGGGCAAGGCGCGAGAGGGAAGCGCAGGGGAGAGAAGGAATGGCAGGGAGAGGTAGAGTGGGACTGGAAAACCAGAATGCGGGGCAAGGCGCGTGAGGGAAGCACATGGGAGAGAAGGAATGGCAGGGAGATTATGGTATAGCAGAATGGGGAGCAGGGACATAGTGGGTGTGCTGGAAAAAATTAAGGACGGCTAGGGAGGGGCAGGGAAAGGCGGGCATGTCAGAATGGGGAGCAGGGAGAGAGGGGGTGTGCTGGAATATTTATGAACGGTCAGGGATAGGTGCAAAGCAGAATGGGGAGGCACTCACTTGCACGTCGTTCCAAAAATTGCCAGTTTCGGGGGCGTCATACACCCTCACGCCCCTCACTCTCTTTCTATGCGCACGTGTAACAAGCGGATGGCTAAGTCTTGGTTCACTCAACAAATCTTGTAGGGCCTGCAAATGTTTAGCCATGTGGGAACGAGGGATTAGTGGGGCGCTGAAAAAAACATGAGCAAACACTCCAACATACCTTCAAGCTGTCACAGTACCAAAAGTTCAAGAATGCCTTTGTTCCAACGCGAGTGACCCCCTTCTTCCACGAACGGTCACAGTCAGCCACTCTCGATTGCACATGTCGGTACACATCTCGCGAAGATCTCCATTCCGCAACGTCAGCCCACGATGCGCCTTCATGGCTAAGAATCTTAAATAATTTAGCTACCGAACGTTGAGATACACGCTCTTGGAGAATCCAGCATGCCAATTCGTCCTTGAAGGAGAATGGAGCTGCGGGGCGCGGATTAGATCCGTTGGGAATATGAGAAACTTCGTCGATCCCACTCGAGTCACTCATGCGTGCCATGAATGCCTCCGGATCATCGGCGGCACGAGCAGCTGCCGCATCTACACCGTCCTCATCGGCTGGCTCATCAAACGTAGGTGGTACGAATACGTTTTCACTGCTGGAAGGACTCCACACGCGCCGACGTTGAGCGGGGGGTTGGATTGGTGGGGAGTCGGACGCCTCTGCGCCTCTGGATGCAGCAGCTATTCTGCAAGCCGCACTACCTCTATGCGATTCTAGAGCAGAATACACGTAGAAAGGCCCCGAACTACAGTCTGGGCATTCCATAGTGGCGGATGCAGGACTAATTTCTATGTATTGAAGGCAAAAAGAAAAACAAAGCATGAGTGATTTGCATCAATATTATACTCCCCTGGTTGAGATGGTGTGAAGCGTATGAACACTTTAGTTGTCGTGAGATGTAGTGCTGAGATTCAGGTTCAAGTCGAAGGGGTGTGCATTAGGGCGCGTCATTCTAGTATCATTCTCAATCGATACCCATCTCAACCGAATTATTTGTTTATTAAAGCGTTTACAATTGTGCAGCGTCGTATTGCACCGCATTCCCCCGAAGAAAAAGGACGGGCACTTACGAGCCGCGCATTTCACTCACACATGTCAAATCGCATCGTGAATTTTACACTTCGTGAATTTTGAACTTCGAGTGACGTTGCGACATTCCCGTTAGCCAATACGGTCATTCAAAATGTTGGCCAGCGAAAAAGTGCTGTTTGGAGAACCGAATTGGATGCGACCAATAGGAAGAAACCACGCACTCCCAAAAAAATATCACAGTGTGTTTTGACTTCGTATGACCAAGGCGTCACGAGATTTCAAGAACCGTGACATACACCTGTTTGCTTATGTACTCTAGAAACGGCTGTTTATGATCACGTTCTTGCAAACACCAGACACTGTGCGACACAAAATCTTCCCGCTCGAAGATGCCACGTTTTCTGCTTGCAAACACTGGGGTTTTGCCCAATAAATTTTACAGTCAATGACTAGTTCCGATTACAACAACAACATCACGCCAAATCAAAATCGATCTCAACCGCACGAAAA